ATCAGACATGTCATCATAAAATTTTAAATATGTTGCCAATCTGACAAAATCGCAAATATTAATACTCATTCGGTTTCTAAATACCGCATATACCTACAATAAAAAAATATTTTTAGAAAATAAGTAGGCAACCGAATATACTTCAGCACATGGATTGTTTCATCATTACTATATTAAATGCAGTCGGGTTGACAGATAATTGACATTTGACTTCTCAGTATTTCCTATACTTACATATAAATTTTTCAGGATTTATTGTTATTTCATCTTTTGCTTTGTTTGCGTGATGTGTGAGTTTTGCTGTTTACGACGTTTTTACAAAGTATTCATAGTAATGTCCTACTATCGAAACGGTATAAAAGTAGATGGAACTTGACAGTGTTCAATTGGTTTTTGTCTGTGCTTCGAGAAGAATTCCCTGTCTCTGTTGTAGAATATATCCAGTTTAGACAAACCTCAAACGTCTGTTTAAAAAATTTCGAAGAAAGTAGATCTATGGCACGAAAACCTAGAAGCGGCTGTCCTAAGAAACGACATCTAGAACTTTTTGAAGAAGAGAGAGAAAAAATCTTCATTTGTTTCCTTGCAGTCCCACATCTGTACATAAATTACGGTCAACTGCTTTTCTTCAAATAGTCCAATGCTGTCAGTGGTTTCTAAATACTCTAAATCTGGATGACCATGTCGAAAAACCGTTTTTCAGTGATGAAGCATACTTTCACCTTAGTGGCTATGTAAACTCACAAAACAAAGGAATGTGGACTTTGGAAAATCTACACTTTTTCATTGAGTCGCTCCAATCTCCCCATAAAGTCAGCGTTTGGGCTGAGATTAGCCAGTGCAGAATTATTAATCCGATTTTTTATTATAAGGATTTTTTTAGTGTTAGATGTTTCCAGGAAGCAAATGCTGCAAGGTACTGGGCGAAATTTTAACTCCATTTCTAAATCAACTAGATGATAAGTTAATTTATTACTTTCAGCAAGATGGTGCTACTGCTCATACAACTGGAGCTACAATAGATTTTTTAACTGAGTTTTATGATAACTAATAGGATTATTAAATACACCAAACAACTCGTCGTCTAGATCATGTGGTCCCCTCAGACTTGCGACTTCTTGTGGAAGAATTAATTAATGAAATTAATAACAATGCTGGTGTTTGTGAACACAACAATAAAGAGAAAAGGTAGTAGGTTATGCTAATAAGGAGGGAATACCCGCTTGCAGCATTTGTTTTAATTTAGTGATACAAATGTTTAATAATTCGAAATGTAGCCGATATCAGACCCTACAGAATATTTGACTGAATTGTGCAGAATATTTTCTTATTGTTGTTACAGAAAATTTCAATAAAGTAACGTATTCTTATGTTTTCTTTTGCTTTCTAAAGAAACAAACATTTGCCTGAAAGAACTGTTGTACTGAAGGGATCCTTCTAAAAACCATTATGATTTTGACTACTTCCGTTTATTTTTTTATTTCGACAGTATTTGACAACAAGGTGTCGGCTCGCAGATAATTTGTGGATTGTGGCTATTTCAATAATCTGCCTTATGCAGTTTTACACTAAAATGAGAAAATGTTTTCTAACCTAACATTATTTTATTGTTTTCAACGTGGCTCTACACTCTCAACATTAAAGGCGTAAACAATTGAATTTTCACCGCCTGCTCCAAACATATTTTTTATTGTACACCCGTGATAAATATTCAGCAAAGTTATGAAATTCTATTAATTAGTTTAACAACAATGTTTCCTGAGAATATTTAAGCTGGCAAAAATGGTTAGGTTTCTGGCATAATTTAGCCTTAAATAGGTAAATAGCATGTTTGCGCAAAACATTTTCTTATACATTTTTTCTTATGCTTATACTTATCCTTATAATTAAATATTACACTCATAATCGTTACATCTTATGTTGACAATAATAGAATTTTTCTACAATGTCAATCAGTGTCATTTAAAACTAATTATGTCGCAACTGAAAAAGAAACTCTTTTTGTATTAACTGATACACTAAGTAGCTCTGAACATCTTCTACATTGCCACAAGTCGTCAAAATTTCTAAATTATTTATGTGTAAAATTAATCAATTTACTTCACAGAAAGTCAGTCCTGCTTGCCAATGTAAGGTCCGAAGCCGTCAGCATAACTGTTACAATTATACTTATAACTATATTTATAAATTATAAGTATAAGCATAAGGAAAATTTTATAAGAAATAATATCGACATAAAGACTGTGGACCAAGCGACTATATTTCATGGCTTGCTGTGATCTGACAAGGTCGTATAAAAAATGACGTTTGAGTTTTCCTAGGAATTGTAATGATATGCACCAGATTAGACGATGGTAAATGGATGAACATACTCATTCTAGCCAAAATAAATGATTATATTTCAGAACCTTACTTACGGACTCCATTAGAACACCCGACCTCATTTTGTCACTTTATTGGACAGACTTTTTAATCCATCAGTCACCGCGGACAGTGATTTTAGAACCGCCAAAAAACTTAATTACCTAATCATAAGTTCCAGTCCTGTTTCACTGTCTTTTCTTTCCCCCGGAATCCGTGTCACATCAAACATCTTCCGGTATAACTGAAAAATCAGTCCCTATCGATCAGCGCGCCTATTTCAATCGCGCTTAGGCAACCCGTAAAACTCCCCAGAAAGGCAGGCAATCGGGTCATTCCCGTTGACCTATTTTGCAAAAACGCTCGCGAAAAACGGTCCGCACAGATGTTCACTTGCGTTCCCCCACGTTGCGTTGCCAAAAAGAAAAGACGTCTGAAATAGTCGTAGACAAGTGCGCTAGGTGGTCAGACGCGAAGGTCATCCAACTTGACCTGCATGGCATTTTTTCGTCCAGGCCCGGACAGATGATAAACACAGCAACGATGCAGCGAACCATGAAAACCGCATTCAACTGAAAAATAGATCAAGTACATGGTTGCAATTAATGGCGTGTTTGCTGAATTTAATTAAACGAATTCGTGCGGTTTACAAGAAGCTTGCGGTTTGACCGTGGCGAATCCGCTTTGGGGGTGGTGAAGCGGTTGCACGGATTACAAAAAAAAATAATAATAACGGTAATGGTGTATAATATTATAACAGGAATAAGCTTTGTTTTTTTTTCGCTTTTATAAAGGTTTTTAAAATCTAGGGAAGTGAAGAGTGACCATAATTATTGGAAAATCGAGGTCTATTAAATATTTCTAAAAACCAGAGACATATGTCTAAAAATATACTTATATCACTTAAAAAAAACTAAGAAGTCCTCGTCGATACTGTGAACGACCAGAACGTCATGAATATTCTGTTCTAATTGCCAACCTTTTTTTTTCGAATACATATTTTAAACTAGAACTCAATAATTCATATGCGGTAAAACTCGAAGTAATAATTAATTAAAACATACATCATAAATAAATGAAAGAATTTATAAAATCGCATATTTCTTCTAACTTATTGGTAATATGAATGCCATCTATAACATATTCCTAACTCACTATCGTTTCATACTCTAGGGGTTATGAAACGTCGAGGAAACACGAACATGCCCATTCACCGGTTGGACCTTAAAATGGTTCAAAATTATCTAAACAACTTTATCTGGAACTTTCAAATTCGACGCTTTGCCACATTTCTTTTATTACAAACAGTTAAAAGCATTCATCTTGTGGTATTTACGTAATAGCCGTAAGGTACCTGTTGAACAATAAAATACAGAAAGCGTCTTGTGATGTGTTTCTTTATTAATCTGATCTGTTGACTGTAGTGTTAAAGTCTGAAATTTACAATCGGTGTTTTCGATTAGTGGTGACTGGGGGAAATCTAATAACGGATGGTGTCTGGGATCACATTCTGTTGTCAATTCTATGTGACATCGTTCACATGCGTTGTTTGTCGAACTTGATATTCTTTCTGTGTCAGAAAACTACAAAATAAAGCGATGTTCTGAATTTTTTCGCGTTGTCCTTTACACAGCCGACAACAATCAGCTCCTAATTCGGAATCTTTAATATGTTTGACAATATTCCAAAAGAAAACCGCTGTTTCACTGAAGTGCTTCAATAAGATCAATGACATATTACTTGTTAACGTATTCTTCATCTAAGCATCTAAAGAATTGTAATATCAGGGAAGGAGAAAACTTACTAGTGTGACACCGTATTGGTACAAACTAAATGATGAGATTAAGTGGTAAATGCACCGACTATTAATATTAATACCATGAGTTAGACCTCTCAAAAATAATACAGCTTTTCTTAGTCTAAAGTAGCAGAAGATGGCAAAACCTAAGAAGGGATCATCTTGCAGCCAGTATAACAACAAATACAATCATTTTTATTATGTTTACTACAAAGCCGATTTTCAACATAAAACTGGATTTTGTTTTAGTGAAAATAATTCGTTTTTGTAAAAATTAATTAGACTTTTGGTATTCGAATTCATTAAAACTCCCAAAGAAACCTCTAAGATTAAAATGTTGACAAGCATTGATTTAATTTTTAAATAAACATACAATAATGAAAAAACAATGTTCCCGCTCGGTCATCTTCTTTACTTACATGAAGCCGTATTTCTTGTGTAAAGTGCATTCGTTATCTCGAACAATAACTGAATGCTTAAAGAAATAATCATAATTAGAATTACCACACATGCAAGTCCGGATCGTATACGATGCATAAGAACCCATCTTACTGAAATAATTTTCTCACATAAATAATCATTAATATGACGATATCGAGAAACAGCTTTCTTTCTTAAAACAAAGTTTTGAATATATCACTACACTTTGTCGCACGGTATTTCTCTGACAAAGTTACTTGGATTTGGACGTATTTCCTCAAGTGTTACAGATCGGTTATCCTCTTCACAAACTTAAAATCTGCACAAAACATAGCACGATTGAACTGTCATAATGACATGACTAATTCTGATGATAATAATGTTAGGGTAAAAAAGCAGTAATTAAATTGAGTCAAAAAAGTTTTCCTGTGACATCTTCGGTAATTTTCATTCTCTTTCAAGTTTTTGTTGATTGCGTTTGATGTTAATTTAATGTACGGCCCATAATATTAGAAGTAGTAGAACGGACAGAAATAGTGGTAGTCTCTTTAAATGTAGCATATCTACGCCGTTGCAGTCTGATTGTTTGCACTGTATACACTTGTGGTCCATGAAGAATGTATTATTAAGTATTTCGGTGGTGGCGTAATGGCAAGCGTTATCATAATTCGCATATTCTTTAAACAAGCAGCTTTGAAATTTAAAAGTACCGTTCTAAAATTAACAGCAAATAAGACAGTAAATCAGCAAGTATGAGGTAAAATTACTTGATATTTATGCAGGTTTGGCAACCAAAACAAATCTTCCCAGGCTTCAGGGTTTACCTTGTATGTTATAGATACACAAAGTAATCTTGCTGGTCTGGCAGGTAAACTAACAACGTAAAAATTTTTGGACGTCATATTAAGTACTGCTGGATTGCGCATGTACTGCAGAGGTGTTCCGCTTTTGCCTACCACAAAATTAGCACACGTCATCCTGACTGGTGTAAAAGATCGATCGTTCTCTTCACATTTTGAATTATAGTCCATACAGAAATAACAGTACTTTGTAGAAAAAACTGAAATGGATTATATTAACTCAATAACTAATGCCTAATAAAAAACAATACTTACTCTCCTTAAAAAAAAAACCTGGAAACAAAAATACAAAAGCAGCAACTGAATTGCACTTCATATTCTTCTAAATGTTGTATATCATCATATCATAATTTTACTAATATTTTAATATGACAAAAACTTGACAAATATTTTCTGGAGACATTTACATTTGACAAATAAATCAATTAACTAATTATAATCATCGCTAGAGTCCCTAGATATACGTTAGAAAAGTATATCTAGGGACACTAATCATCGCCATAATAGACGTATAAAGCCGTCCTATATAGTTTCGATTTGAAGTGTTTCTTACAAGCCGGCCGTGGTGATAGGTACTCCTATTAGGGCCCTCTAGCCTTGTTAAAATAACGATTTCCCGCGCAAAATTTAAGAAATCAATACGATTTCATTCAAACGAGCCCCAAATAAATGATAACAAAACATCAAGATAAAATCCATAACGTGATTAGTTTGATCATGGCCGACTAGTATAAAGATTATGGCCTGTCCAAAGGTACCATACGTGCTGCCATCTATTAATAATTCAAAATCGACAAAAGAATTATTAACACTTTTTGAAAGGCACAAAGGCATTCATACCGAAACAAACCACCATTACACGTTTTGAAGTCTCATAATGTCAAATCAAATTAAAATTTTGCTAAATTATTAAGTGTAATTATTAATAGATGGCAACACGTATGGTAACCTCTTGGACAGGCCATAGTCGGCCATGGTTTGATTAATATGAGGAAAAAGTGTTACGTCTGCGGTGATAAGGCATCTTTGCTGTTCCATTTTCCCCGTGATATTACTTTAAGATCCAAATGATTTGCAGCGATAGGAAGATTTTATGGTGATTACAACAAAACTAAATTCATTAAAATAACATGTATAAAAACATTTATCCCAGACATGACAAAAATTACAAATTACTCTCTAATATGCAAAACCCATTTTACTCAAAATAATAATAAAATATATAGTTTAAATAAAGATGCTATGCCCCTTATATCTGTTAATCCAGCCTTTCTACTTTTATTAATAATAATAACAACAGTTGCCTTTAAGAATTTTTTTTTGGTACCCCAAAAATTGCCCTCCCTCAAAAATTAAAACGTATATAACAAAAATATTTCAAATGCGTTTCCAAAATTCGGGACCTTTTGTCAAATTAATTCTGCTTCAAGATCTAAGAAGTCTGGGATACCTGAAGGAAGTTTTTGTGGGACTTGCTAAAAGACTTGTGGATATTTTTCAAGAAATGTTACTGTTCCTGAAATTTGAAATGACTCGCAAACAAATTTTGAACACCAATTACCCTAATGATAAAATGTGCTGCATGATCATTCAAATGGCAATTAAATAAACCTGTCTGTGAAAAAGATCTCTTTTCGGAATAAACCATTGACTAGGAAAGTTTTAAAACTGTAATGAAATTAGCTCTGTTTCCATCCTACCTTACTTACCTTTAAAAATTTTGAGTTTTCAATAAAATGCAGTTTTTTGTCTTATAATTTCATTTGTTTGATATTCGTGTGACATAAATTATATTTTCTAATAGGTGCAGAAATACATTTTTGGAGAATTAGGCGAGTTACAAAGAGTGTGATTCAAATGTGCTTTGAAGACAAAAACTTATTTCCTGCGCAATATTTCTCAGTTTTTGAAACGTTTATCTACATTTAGTATTTCTTGGTATTGATGTCTTCTGCGCTGGTGAACATTTTTTCGTTACATTAAAATTTTTCAAATTAGATTTTTAACACTTCAGTATTCTGAAAGAATATGCCAATAGTATAATACAAAATGATCAGATTAAGTGGAGCATGCACCGACTATTAATATTAATACCATGGGTTAGACCTCCTGAAAATAATACAGCTTTTCTCAGCCTAAAACATCAGAAGATAGCTAAATCTTCTAAGAATGGATCATCTTGCAGCTCAAAATCGCAACAAATACAATCACTTTTACCTATTATGTTCACTACAAACAAGATTTTCAACATAAAGCTGGATTGTGTCTTAATGAGATTGCTAATAAAGTAAAACAACTTTGAATATCATAGAATTACGGCATACAGATTGGGCTGCTATTATTCTCTAATCTCGATGCACCCCCATGAGCCTAACCTAACTACCGATCATTTATTCACGCACCACCTGACAGTTGACCTAGATCCTAGAGTACTGTGTTCTAATTTACTGATCAATATGTCAAACTCGATGGTCAGACTGTTCGAAAAACTTGCAACAATATGACACATTCCTAATAAAACAGAACAGAACTGAAATTTTGTGAAGATTTAGCTTTATGTTCATTTACATCGATAACTGTACGTATTTGGAAATTTCCTTCTGATAATTGTGTCTGTACTAAGTTTCTTATGTTAGAATAGGCAAAATCAATGAAAACGGTTTTGTTGCAGTTGGTCGGATTTATATACAGTGCATCTTTTTTAAAAGGGAATAAAACAAGAAAAATGAGAACTTAACCCCAGAAGATGTATTGAGCATGCAAAAAACGAGTCAGAATACACTGCCATCTTGAGAACCCTGAACAGAATACTAAAATCTGTGGGCTATGAATACAAAAATGTTGATAACTGAAAAATTCGGGACCACACTTATAATCCGTACAATTTAAATTAAGAAGCTATTTACAGATATCTCAAGAAGATGAACATTTATTTATTTGGATGAGGCATGCATTTACCAGAGAAGATTTCCTGTGAAAATGTGGGTATTTGAAGGTAATAGGAGAGATATGCCTAATAAAGCTGATGCAGGTGAAGACAATCGCTCCACTTTCTTTCACCCTGGGCGTAAGTCTTGTATGGTATTTTGGAAGAATGTAAGCTATTCTTGGGCAGTAATATTGACAGTAGACACATTGTTATGGAGAAAATCAAAATTGCATGATGCTTGGGGGGTTCTGGAAGCCATACAATAACTAGTAAGTATATGTTAAAGAAGTCCTCAAAAAATCAGAAGTTGTAAATCTATGGTGTGAAGCGTTGACAAAATAGACGCCCAAAATGTGACCGCAACACTGTGAAACAGTAATTAAGGATGACTGGAATAGACTGATGGGAACAGAAAGTGTGCAAGATATTCCATCTATTTATTACGATATCACAGATATTATTGGAGACTCTGACGATAAATAATCAGTTGCAAGTTTTACATCAGAAGCTGCAGATGATATACAGGGGAGGAAAAGAGTAGTGAGAATGCAAGTTTGAATCATTATAGAGCGAATGAAGAAATTATGGCACCTGACTTTTTGCAAATAAGTGATGAGGATGATGAAGAACTGAATAAAAGTCTGAGTGTTGCGCAATTCATCACATTTCAAATACCTAAATAACCTTATCTACCTAAATAAATAAATGTTACTATTTTTGAGATCATTTTCTCTTTCTTTTCCATTTAAAGGTTGGTCTTATTTTGAAAACAATGTTTACAACCAGTCAAACAAATTCGAAAATTTATAGATAGTGATCAGTTCAATAAATTCGAGAATGGAACAAAAAAAATCAAATCCCAGCACGTGAAAGCAGTTCCATTTAATATTACTTTGGCAAAATGAGAAATCCATTGAATAACAGAGCAAGTATTTCAGCTTCCGTGTTTAATTTACTCATATGACGGTCTTCTGTCTTTTCAGTGCAAAGAAATCAAAAAGGGCTGATTAGGTATGAGCTCGTAGAGCAGTATATGGATGACGTTTCGACGTATGTTAAAAATTTAGATCGCCATTTTTACAACTAATGAAAATTGATCTAAAGTTGTTTAGATAGAACTTGCTCAAGTACAGGCGAAGAAATACAGATTCTTTGAAAAGTCATAAAATTGCCGTCTTTGATTCGATCATAAAATAAATTTCCTTTTTCATAATCGCTATTGCAGTTTCAAAATGACAGTCCAAAAACTGTCATTATACAATTTTGATTTTTTTTCAAAAATCTGGTTATTTATATTATATTCAACACGGGTTCATGAACCACGAGTAGTTTATTATAAAAAATTTAAATAAGATTTACTGTTGTAAATTTTGGAGATGACATCATCCCTTTATTGGTGGGGATGATTGGCCAAATTTTGGTTAGAGTTTTACTATCTATGATATTCTTAACATGCATGTAAACAACTGGTCTGGTAGTTTCGGAAATTATCTGCTTAATAAAAATCGACACGTACAGATAATAAACAGACAGATCGAAACAGAAGACATACTTTTTTGTATTCCTTGAGAAATGAAATGTCGAGAAAACATAAAAGTAGCCAGTCGCCCGATGGACTCGATTACAATACTTCATTAGCTTACGCTCGGGAAATAAAAATACTTCAAAATAATTATCCATTTGAATACATTTTTGAATCATGAAGATAGCTTTATTAGCTATTGGTCCGGTCTGTTGGCTGTAATCTGTAATGTTTCAGTCTGTAAGTATTCTGCCACCCCATTACAAGACAATATTTTGACTGTTTTCAACAATTTTTTTCCTTTTGATTCCATCTTCAAAAAATCTGATCTTTTACTTAAAGTGCATTCTGCATTTCAAGCCAGGGTTAGAGGTTAGAGGCAAAAACGTATATATATTTACTATGCTGAAGATTTCGTTTCGTGCAAACGTTGATCCTTGGTCAGAAAGCAAAACTCACTTTGCCGAAATAGTTTTTATTTATTAATACATGTTTCTAAGAAGAAGTTGTATGGTAAGTATGATATCTCTAAAACTTTTGAGGTGTTTCTATGATAGAATTAATTAGATTATGTTACGATGTATTTCGAAGGATGTTGGAACGTTACCCAAATAGCAGGCCCGAACTGCAGTACTGAAATAACGATTGTGGTAGTAAAAATACGGTAAAGTTTTGATAATTTACTCTAGGCGAGAATGGAGATCAAACGAAGCTCAGTATTTTTTCCGTGATATCTGTGAAAAATTTGATATTTTTTAAACTTATTTTTAAAAGTGTTTATAGTGAATACGTGACTACGTTAAGTAGTTTTGGATTCCGCCAGTACTGGCGAGGTGTTCCGCCTTTGCCAACCACAAAATCAACACATTTCATCTTGATTGGCTCAATGGAGGGAATATTCTCTACACATTTTGTGATATAATCCATACAGAAATAGCACCTTTTTGAAGAAAAAACTGAAATTGATTATATTAATTCTATGACTAATGCTCAGAACAAAAACAGTACTTACTTGGAGGTACAAAAAGACTTAAAAATAAGTACACAAAAAAAGTAAGTGAATTAATTGTGTTTCATACTTTTGTAATTATTGTTATATGAATCGCAATTTTAATAATATTTTAGTATAACAAAAACTTGACAATATTGTCTGACAATACTTACTTCGCCATTTGGTAACTAAATCAGTTATAGTGAATTTCACAAATATCGGAATTGTTAAAATTTCGTTAAGTTGCCGCACATAGAAGAATCTAATAAAAAATTTTGAATTACTTTATCAACCTAATAGTCACCGTTTCGCTGCTTGTAGTGTAGCGAGAGACAATTTTCCCAGACGTGTGGAGAAACAGTATTCAACATTGTAAAGAACTTATCCTAAAAGAATTGGTGAAGTTGCAGGGAAATTTTACCACAACCACAAATGACATACCAACAACAATAATCTCACTTTGTGAATCAAATTCGGATAATTCGGAGTATTTTTCTACTAATTCGGAGGACGACGACCATATAGCAAATAGATGCTCACTAGTAACTCCTTAGAAGACTTTCCGAGGACGTCTCTTTACCTGGAGAGAGAGGGATTAATGAAGCTACCCTTGCTTGATCACCATTCAAATTTTGAGCATCTCAATTTTAGGAACATCATATGAAACATGTTGACATCAGACGCACACGTACGTGCAACACAACAAATATTGTGAGGTTATTATGGAAATTAACCATGACGTGTTGGTGTAATTCCAATTATTGTTATTGGCTAGCGTTGTTTGATTATAGTTGTAGTGACTAACGAAAAAGATAGATTAGAAGAAGCAGAAGTGCACTAGTGTACGATGTGTTCCTCTAGCTCGGTATGTGTTGTTGGTAAGGATCAAATTGAGATGCACTTATTAGTCAGTTGAATTGCATATAACAAAGACGCAGACGTGGTGATCACACACGGATGATATAAGTCACTCCCGTTGACGCAGAAAAAGACAACAGAATGCTTTATGTCGCATTACAGCTCGTATTTGTATGCATAGTTTTTATACATCTATTTCAATTTTTATTTATTATATGATCTAAACTCACCATGGTCAGCTACTCAGAATTAGAAGACTTACTAGTTTACATTTTTAGCTATCTTTTAGTTGCGTAAGTATGGTTGTGTTTATATAATTTCCCATAGAAGTAGTAATTTCTTGTCATCACTACATCAGCACATCATAATGTTCAAAGTACCACAAAGAAGTGGCATAACGACATAACTTCACATTATGTGTCATTAAACATGAAACTAGATTTCGGTACATTTTCAACTAAAATTTTTCAATTATATCCATGCTATTTAACTAATTCTGATATTTGACAATACCGATATTTAGGGAATTCACTATAACTAGTTATGATTTCTGATTGTCTTAAGTTTCTAAAGGGAAGTGGTATGGTAAGTATGGTATCTCCAAAACTTTTGAGGTACAGTGTTTCTAGGATACAGTTATTTAGATTTCGGGGCTCACATGGGGTACTTATTTTACAATGTATTTTGACGGTGAAGCAGAAGATTCCCAAAAATCGCAGGATCGAACTGCCGTACAGAAATAACTATTGTGTTAATAAAAATACGGTAAAGTTTTGATAATTTACTCGAGGCAAGAATGGAGATCAAACCAAGCTCAACATTTTCTCCGTGATATCTGTGAAAAATTTGATATTCTTTAAATTTATTTTTAAAAGTGTTTATAGCGAATCTTTCTGAGTTACTTATATTGAATATAAATTTAATGTTCGTATCATAATTTTTCCAACTAGTAGAAAAGTCATAAATAATGGTAATCTTTTAAGACTTATCACATCTCCGCCGTTACAATCTTGTGTGGTGCATTCGGTACAATTTCGGTCCAGGTAAAACACTGGATCAATTATTTGGGTAGTCGCATAGTGACAGGCGTTACCAAATTCCACGTAATCTCGAAACAAGCAGGATTGAAAGGTAAAAGAAGTGTTCTAAAATCAGCAGCAAATAAGACAGTAAATTAACTATTAGAAACTATAATTACTTCATATTTCTGGATTTGCTCCAACTTACTACCTGGGAGTTCAAAAAAATAAGGATTTAGCTTATATTTTACAGTTACGCAAACTGTTCTTGCTGGTTTCTTTGGTAAACTAACTATGTAAAATCTGTTAAACGTTAAATTAAGTAGTTTTGGATTCCGATAGTACTGCCGAGGTGTGCCTTTTTTGCCAACCACAAAATCAACACATTTCATCTTGATTGGCTCAACAGAGCGATCATTTTCTTCACATTTTGAGCTATAATCCATACAAAAATAGCAACTTTTTGAAGAAAAAACTGAAATTGATTATCTTAATTCGATGACTAATGCTTAGAACAAAAACAGTACTTACTTGGCGTTACAAATAGACTTGAAAATAAGTACACAAAAAAAGTAAGTGAATTGTGTTTCATAATTTTGTAATCATTGTTATATGAATCATAATTTGACTAATATTTTAATATGACAAAAACTTGACAAATATTTTCTGACATACTTACTTCGACTTATAACATTTGACAAATAAATCAGTTGTGAATTCCAGAAATACATACAAAATTCTAATTCTCTGTTTGAGTCTGTTTAGATAACCGCATTGTCAACAGGACAAATTTTGAATGAATTTGTCAACGTAATAATCACCGTTTTGCTATGGCGATAAACAATTTTATCCCAGACATGTAGAGACGCAGCAACCAACATTTAATGAGCTTACCGTCCAAATTTTCGCATAAATGCACAATATAATAACAGTTTACCATTGGCGTAACATATCCAGTTCGTGGAAATATTTGAATTTTCTAAATCAGAAATTGACCACCTAATTCTACCAAAAGAATACGTCAGTAGTGGAATACAGAATTTTCTGTGTGATAGTTTGGATGTTCTTTAAACATTTTGAAATGTAATACCCACAGAGAGAACAGGATTTTGCTGAAAAAACTAAAAATGATTTGATGATTGACCAAAATTGGGTTACCAACACGACGCAAAAATCACTAAATCTAACTACATAATTACAAATTCGAGTACCTACTAACAAGGTGAATCACTAACAAAATCTAAATCATTTTTGGAAAGTACATATTGCTATTTGATTTTTTTTCGTTGTTCACACTTTGTGTTTACAGTTTTAATCGTTGTATTTTCGATTACATACAAATTTTTAAAACACGTAAAATAAATAACCAACACGAAGTCTCTCACATAAACTACATTTCTTATGGGTTTTGTACACTACCAGGTTAAAGTGAACTCCACAATAAAACAGGTTTTTTTTCTTCAATTCTAGGTTGTCAACAATAAAGGTTTTTACTTTTACATAGAAACGTACCGTGCTGGTTATCGATAAATTGTAACTGTTATGACCCAAAACCATCAAATTCATTTTCTCCAGCGCGATTTTAAAAATTTTAAACAGAATTTATTTCCCCCTTGTCGTGAGATCCTTTCTTTTCTTTGTTATGGGAAATGGTCTCGAAGAATATTAATATTAAAGCAAGGGACGTTTGTCTGTCATTGTCTTCTTCATGGTTGTAAAACGACGGTTTAAGCAGAAGAAATCACATACCGGAAAATAATTCTCTTGGAGTAATTATTCACTTCCGCCAGTCTGTCTCGGCGGTTTATGTCGGACGCACCGAAACCAATGGCGATTTAACACCAATAGAATTACACCTAAAGCAATATTGTTATTATAGAGGTAATTTTACTTGTTAATTAACTCTTTCGCAGGATTCCTACCAAACGATCTCAGGAAGCTCTAATTAGTACGACTAAAGTCTTAAGAAAATGCCGTCAAGCCCAGAACTTGGCCCATTTATTAGATTAATAGATCCATGAATAATAAAGCTATTTTAATAGCTATGGATGCGTGTAATCGTCTCCATTTCATTACCTCACACTCATAAATTATAGATTAATGAGATACCTCTGACGTTCTTTGCAAATTATTAATCAAAATTCAACAAGTGGTACTTTCCTTGAGCGAAATCAAGTACGACCACTATAGGAGTTATGCATCAATGGATTTAATGCTTTTACTTCATCATAATTGTTGGGTGCAAATGGGGAACATAAAAAAATTACAAGCGAGATCTGGATGTTTTCCGGTTGTACAAAACGACTGGTTGGTAGACAGCAGACCAAAGGAGACGGTATAAATCCTTCTAATCGTTTAGAACACTCATTTTTTAGAGATTTGTACTACACCATAATGATTACATCTGACTAAACAAAAACTTACCGACGTGTTTTAAATTAGCACACATACCTAATTAATGCACCTGCATTCGACCCTTCAATTATAGTCGCGTTTTGTCGTATTCTACCTGTAGACATCGATAATTGTTATAATGATGATTCAACTTAAACATTGTATTGTACAGAAAAAACATATAGGTATTATTATTGCAACTACACTACATTAATAGGCTTCCATTATTATCTTTTTATCCACCACCATCTTAATTTCCGGAAATATTTGTTACACGCCGATGAAAAAATATGTCTATGGCAAATAATCTATTGTAGCTATCTTATTATGTAATTAATTTGTTTATTAATCTGGTAAACAGGGTGTTAGTTTCAATCTGAATACGAAGGTAAAAAATTGTTAATCTCCTCTGTCAAAACTGATATTTCGGTATTAGATTTTTTTTAACGAATTTTTGGCATGGATTTTCTTATTCATCTCAGACGATAAGTCGCCCCTCTACAGACTGGCAATTATTGTCAACAATAAGACGATTCTAAAAACTAAAGTACCTTAAGGAAAGAAATTTCAGTATTCAATATCTATTAAAATATGAAACCTAAATATTAAAACTACGTAGGCGTTTTCCAAGAATTGTCTATAATTTTACAGTTTATTCTGTTTTTCACAAAAAAGTCCAAGTCTGAATATTGGTCATCATCCAAGGTAACCTGTTTCATGTTTTTTGGATGACTAGTAGAAGAGATCTATGTTTTCAGGTTATGGCATATTACTCCTAATAGACTAGTTTATGTTGCTAAATTTTGTTAAACGAATATCTGTGAAAATCAAATTACTGGAACCAAAGAACTTGGTCAATTTTAGTATGTTACATTTTAGAAACCTCTTTTAGTAATATGTTTACAAGAACTAAGTAATACTATAAAAATATGCAATATTACTTTTGGTGAACAGAATTTTTAACGTCAAAAATTTTAATGAGCTTTACAAACATGTAAAAAGGATTTGAGTCCAATTTGTTTAAAATTATTTATATTTTTCAGTTTATAAAAGGACATTTAACTCCATTGTATCACATTGCAGGTAATAAAAAATAAAATAATTGTTTTAGATCTTGTAGAATAATACTTGTTTTTGAAAAAATCTAATAAATATAAATCTCGCGCAAAAACGAAAGATCATCCCAGTAATGGCACTCGGGAAGAGCGACTAATCGATGCGTCAGCATGTTGTAAACAAACTGTGAACTAGACATGAGTCTAGCGGAAGTTCCGCAGCGAACGGCCATTATCAAAGACGGAAGTCTGAATCGACCGCTCGATTCCGATGTTTATCGTTCATGCTTTGTGGTTGGGTTGCTCCCTGTGTTCCACAAATAAATATCTCAGCTCCCTGCATTCGCTACCGTTACAAAAAAAGACAACGAAATTTATACCGCCGAGTACTAATAAAAATGAATTTCTGCAAGGTAAATGTCACGTCAAATATGTTATTTAGTAACAGTCACACGTCCAAAACGACAACAACGTAATAAGTTGAAATAATTCCCTAAAGTCACGTTCTAAAAGTCGTTTTCTTGTGGTTGTTTCAAATTTGAAATTTAAATGGGTAGGGGAAGTCAAATTGCAGATTATTATAAATGCTAGATTTTTCCTTAGTGAAATTTCACCCTTTTTGAGTTTGTGGATGGTTGTTGGTTGTGGTCACGTTGTATCAACAAACAGCGCAAGGAGATAAATAAGAATGACCGGAAGCCACTTCAAGAAATTCGTTGGATGTAATGAGTAGTGACATAATTCTTAAAATATTTTATTAAAATTAGTTCATCAGAAATACAAATCGCGGCAAAATAATGACAACACTGAGTTCCAAGTAAACTTTTTATCGGTAACAATATAGCTATATAATATTAACAAAAGATCACTGGAAAATGTTTAATTCAGCACCCCTGGAATTACCGACCAGAACACGGAAATTATAAACCAGTGTCGAGCTCGAAGTAGGTCCAAAATGAAACTCTTGTCTCCACATATTAGAATATACCACAGAATATCAAAAAAATAATCCGTGATCCTTCAAAATTCATCTTGCCCTTTTATAATTATTCGTTGTTTTCTGGGTGGACACTTCATCTGTTATTTCTTCACCATACCTCATTTAAACCCATTTAGGCAGACGCTTATTAACCAGATCTAAATACATGTCCCTCGTGGAACTCAATTTTGTTCAAAAATCGAAATGGAAAATGACACGTACCTACTAGACACACTAGTTTCAAAATTTCACAAAATTTACTAAAAAATTCCAAAAAAATTGAAAAGACATTCAATCGTTCTTCCTCCACCTCGTTTTCCCGTGCCCCTCACACACTCAAAACTGTCAGAAATCCATCGTGCCCCCAAAAATAAAAAGGAATTATGGCAAGTGTGCGCCATCAATCGCAACCATCCGCCTCGCGAACCATGTAAAATTCATGATAATGCCGAGCTGTCAATCAGAAATTCATGAGGGCCCCTAAAAAACCGGCGTAGACGTCCCAGTCATAGAGTTGAGCTTTTACGTGCTGGGACAGCCTAATCACCTGTCGAAGAAGTCGAGCGCCCAGAGCAACGGTAAATTGCGGTCCCCGCCGAAGGAGAAGCGTCCTAACGATGACAGTCCGTCTGTTCGGGGATGCCAAACACGTCGCCGCGTTGCAGACGAGACTCCGTCTTCCGTTACTCAAGATGTATCTCCCCGCGGATCGGAGGATGGTCGGGGTCAACGCCAACGAGGACCTCTGGCCTTGAAATGCGCGCTCTTCGGCTGCACTGCGGATCGCCGATGCCGCTTTATAGCGGAAACGTGCCGTCAGTGTGTGGGCATTGTTGGGCTCTTGCCGTAGATGGAGAGGCCGCACTGTGGGGCCTTTTCGGGAACCGACGCCAAGCTGGAAAGGATATGGGTACCGAGTGACCGCAGAGCTTCGCATGTTAAAAAGCGACAGAGGATATATATTTTTTCTAAAAGGATGCAGACGGGAAAATGCGTCAGGTGTTGCAGCGATCGAATGATGGAGGATACTTTTTTTTTAATACAGTGTCTGTACTCTGTGGAAAAATGTTTTGAAATAGTTCGTGCGTCCACCAGTTCTACATTTCTAAATAATATCCAGGATAATTGTGTTTTATCCACACAGTTACAGCAAATACTTACAGGTGATTCCGGAGCAATAATGGGCGCGACAGAATTGATAACGCAACCCAAAATACATTTCCAAAGATTCATAAATGTACCTATTTATTTATTTATTTATCAAAACATTTAGCTCAGGATTTCAGATGAAAGACTACAATGTCTAGAACTGAAGCTGATATATTTAACATTCTGCTTTTGACTGAAAACGTAGAATTTGAACAGTCTTATAGGAGATGTTGAAAATGCACACCATTCTAATTTTACTAAGAAAACAATCGACCGATCAACGGTTAACCTCTCGTAAAACCATATTGATACGGTAAAGTGGTACAGTATTTCCCCTTCATTGGTTCAAAATTTTTTCATGACGATGTACCTATATTTATAGCCTATGTGAACTGCTTTTGTGAGAAATATTACATTTTCGTCTACCCAGCAATAAAAAAATAATTTTATCACAAAACTATCAAACGGCTTTGAAGATGATTCAAAATGACCCTGTATCATGGTTGTTTTACCATCATTAATTATTTTCAACAGCGGAAAGATGACTTTTGGTTCAAGGTGGTTTTAAGCTGCAATTTCATGTATTCGCCGTCTGTAGAACACGTCTAGCATACAGTAAATTCCAAACGCTTATTACGTCGTGTACATTTTCGTTCAGAACGAGTATTTGATGAAACTACAATACATTCTGTGGGTATTGGTGGCTGACGCAACGTAATGCTTGAAAGAGTTTCGCGGCAGGAGACAAATTACACCATATCTTTAAGCTTCAGTTACACGAAAATGGAGAATGATGGATGTAAACTAAACTGAACTGAATGTAATCGATAAGAACTACCGCGGATTTTTGCTCTCCATCCTTCAACATCTTTAAGTAAATGACTCTTTACAATAGATGCAATACTTACATATAAAATTTATAAATTCTTCATGCGTCAAAACTTACCCTATGGCAATTTTTATATGTGTACAAAGGTCAAAATGTCACAGCATTTCGCAAAAAAAACATACAAAGTCACCGCAGTTATTTTAAATTTGCGTCAGACTTAAGTTTATTTATAGCCACTTCAAAAAATATTCGCATGTATGATTTTTTATTTTATATAAGTGTCCTACTACAATTTTATCATAAAGTCTACATTTTTGCCAAGAATGTTGCAATTATACACGAACTTAAATTTATGTAGATTATCTTTTATATTCAATTACAAAAACAAGTAATTTCCAGTTAAAGTACCACAATCAGGTCTGATTTTTGTGCTACGAAGGACGATGCTTTAAATACAATCGACCAAGGAAGCGCTAATTCTGAATAATGCATGTACCTATGTACTGCACCGTTTCCAATTTTGAAAATCGGCCACTGCGTACGGCACTCAGTTGTTTCGGCGGCGGGTCGCAGGTTCTCTCGAAATTTAACCTCTTTGCAGTCGATTTTATTGAAAGGATGTAAGGGGGAGACTGATTAGTGGGCGCCAGGTAGTTAGTAAATAAAATGTTTTATGAAACTAGCAACTACCAATTTAGTTTCAAACTATTGAAAAAAAAAAAAAAATACATAAGTAAGGGACAACCGATTTATCAAATTAGGAAGAAAGAAAAAAAGAAAAAAAAAAGATTAAAATATTCACACTACTTATTTCGACACAATTAAAGGCCGCGCTTACGTAAGCTTGGTTTACAACGAATTAATTATAACTAAGAATAATTCTTTAGACTAGTGCCTGAAGGGCGATGGTACTATATTTGACGTGTAGGGCGCAAATTCATAGATTGGAAAAATCTGACCTTGGGCGTTTCCAGAGATAGTGATGTTCCGATTAGCGGTAAATTATTTCTGGCGTACCGGCGAAAATGTTCCAGGCCGTCCTCAAATTCGAGAGCTTCAAAAAAGTCAAACGAGAAGCCGTGCCGCCTTCAAGATGGCGTCGTCAAAAAATCTTGGCTTGGTTCGACGTCGCACACGGTACCAGACAAGAAAAGGAAAAACCCTGAAATTTCCAAGCGGTTCACTTAGACGGAAAAGACAGTTTTAATAATTACCTCAAGTGGCTGCTGAGGGTTTTCAAGCAACGAAAAATTTGGTGCGCAAAAATGACACAAGTCTTCACCACCGTGAACACTCTCGGAAAAATGTCGCCGGAAAAATCTTAAAAACCAAGAATCGTCTCAAAGGTAGGGGTAGATATTAAAGTGACCAATGCGCTGTCGGAGGTGACCACTGCCCAGCGGCGTACACGTAAACTAGAAGGGACTGAGACATGGATTCGTTATTAGCAATTAGAATTCGCCAAGACAAAGCATAGCACCTGGTGGAAAAATGACCAAGAGACGGCAAGAAAATTTTCAGAGTGGTGAACCGGGACTTACTGATTATTCCAGGAGTGACGGGAGACGACGCTGACCGGAAGTCGCCTTAAAAATGGGGGACCTCGTCACTCTGACGTAGCGAAGGTGTCGTCGATAATTAAAAACGAAATTGATAAAGAACCGATAACGATACTTGATAGAAACGTACTTACTCAAAAGAGGGAGCTACGATGATGAAAATAATATTTTTGGTTATTAAAACTAAACGCACTACGGCAAAAAGATAAATGCTGGAAAGGGTTGAAACGACAAAAAAAAATGCAAAATTTTCCGGTGAAGCCTGAGGAAGCCAGCACTACCTGGTTGATTATAGCATCAACTACGCTAAAACAACCTGAAGGGTTGAACTACAAGTGGTTGATTATAGCATCAACAACGCTGAAATTTTACCATCGGTAAAAGAAAAACTAAGATATGAAGAAAGGGGAAAGGACAGAAGAAACAGGTCCATTAGAGGACTTTTACCTCAAGCAGGACTAGGCTGATGGACTATTCTTTTCCCGGCCCAACACAGGAAGACGTAACGCATGTTACAGTACACAGACGTTCGCAAATGTATGGAACCACAAAGAAGCATTCGTTACATTAAAAATACATAAATACATAGTTGAGAAGGGCCTTGTAAATCATTGAGCTACTTTTGTTTTTTATAACATGAAGCAATAATTATTTCAAACTTTTTCCGAAGATCTTTCTACTAAAGAAAAGTACACATCCAGTAGCGAAAACTGTAACCACAAAAAATTATTTCTTCTAAAACTTTCCGTCTGTCTGTCTGTCTGTCTGTCTGTCTATTTGTCTAGTATCTGTATTCATTTTTAGTAGACACGCAAGGTCCGAAACTACCAGACCGGTTGTTGTCAAATTGTGTATGCATATTAGGAATATCATGTAGATGGTTAAACGCTAACTCAAATTTGGCTAATCATCCCCACCACCAATGGAATGACGCCATCTCCAAAATTATAATAGTAAGTAAAAAAAGTGTAAAAAAAATAATTTGCAATTTATAATACGTAGTAAGTTTTTTTAACTTTTATAAAGTAAGATACTCCTGCACTTATGGTATGAATCTGCGTCGAATTTTCACCCTAGGTATCCAGATTTTTGGAAAAAAATTAAAAACTTCGTAACAATGAAATCTTGTAAATACTTTAAGGTTATCGTAATCATGGTAAAAATCGTTAAGCAAAATTTATTGGTTTACCCCTCCCAAAAAATTGATGACGTCAAACTCATTTGAAAAGGATTCTGAGAACTGCCTTTTTGTTATTTTAAAAAGTACATAGTTAATTTACTACGTTATCATATAAATTATGTCTGACAATTAATCTCGCCTGTAATAATTTTACAGACGTCAGTAAATACAAAAAATCAGACGCCAATATTATCACTTATCATCATTCAATCTAATAAATCACCTTTAACACTGTTTCATTAAATTTTTAGCAATATCTAATATACCTAAATTATTACAAGTAATATAATGGTTGTTTAATTCTAGAAATGTCCTATTGAAAATGTTACGTAAAGTTTTTCGTTTATCTAAATGGAACGGCAAACAAAAAATTGATTCTCAAAATAAAATTCACAAAACTTGAGAGATTTCACGTACTTGTAATAAAATGATTAGTCCCTAATCAAAAATTTTAAAAATAGTGGGATGATAAGATTGATAACACGATTAGTAATCAAAATTCAATGACAATTTTTTTGTATAGTAGATTATACATTAGTGCGCGAATTTATTGTTTTAGTTTTTTACGCAATAAAACAATTCTCAAAATGTTTTCAAACTCCCTTGTAAATTTAAATAGGTATCTTTACAAAAAAGTGAGTAATTTTAAAATTTAATTTACGCAAAAACATAGAAAAGCACTGTTAAAAAGTTTTCAGCTTTTTGTATTTTATATGTTGATGTTTAGTCGTAACATGTTGAATGTTGTATAAAATTTACATAAAATAAGTGTTACTGAACTTGTAAAAGTTCCCTATCTAATTTTTACTGATACACACGTACTTCATGTCTTTATTGTTTAAAGTTGTACAGTAATGAAAAAGGAATCGCTGCAAAGTTTTTACATGAAACAAACTAGAATATACGACGTGATTCATGATGTTGACAAAAACCTTGAAGACGTTACTAAAGACAACAATAAGACTGTCATCAGTCTATTTGAGTACTCTAATTACAAGCAATCAAGAAACCCTCTAATTACTAATTAATCGAGTTTTTTCGGGAACCTAGAACCCCAGAGAACCATCAAATATGCACAGATTCTTTATCATCTGTCACATCTGTCATTTGGATTTCCACGTTTCTAAATGTTGACATACGGTTTAATGACAAAAGACGCTCAACAAGTAGCTAGAGTTTAATGTTGATGTGCTAAGACTGACATATTTTTTTTTAAACTAATAAGATGATAAAATATCGGATATAAAATAAAAATATAAGCAAATTGTATGGTCATAATTTTCTTAAAAATGCATACTTAACAAACTCATCGAAATGCTGAAACGCTGATTTCCGTATAACAATGACACAAGTAATTTCGCCAAAATATCTTACTGGGTAATCGGTTTGAAAGCCACTTAAAAATGTATTTACTATGTTATGTTTTTATGTCGCATCTTTGCAGTCTAAAAATGGATAGATAAGTACTATCTTTAAGTTGCTATATTTCCTTGTAGGCTAAATTAAAAAAACTACATTTTCATCGTCGGAAGTCCACATGACGAAATTATTGCAGACTGTTTCCCATCCACTGTAAATTCTTGAAACGTCGCAGTTTCATGTCCGAAGGGACTCTTTTTTGCCAGAAAATGGTCCGTTAATTGCGAATTCTGCTGACGGATGTTTCTAACCTTGTTCGTAAATTTTATACTGCAGTAAAAGTAGCTTCTCTCATTCGCAACACGGAATGTTGTTAATAAACTAACACTTCTCGTCCAGACCTCGGCCATTGAAAATGAAAATAAAAATTGCTTCAAAAATACACACAGGAACTCCAGAAATATCGCTCGTGACATCATCGAATAGTATAAATTTAGCAACGACAATCAAGTTGAAGATGAAAAATCAACCAGGAACTATGATAGAGGATTAAGCCATGTTGATAAAGAAGCACATAATCCGGGTATTACCTAATACTAGTATTTGACGAGCTTTAGATAGCATCGTTTGTTCAGGTACTTATGTAAGTGTATAAGACAAGATTTGTTTTGGATTTATAAACTTTCTTATGAAAATGGCGGCAGTAAAACAAAACTGGTAAAAATTGGCAAACGCAGTAGGTTTATATTTACTCGCCGAATTTTTGCACACTAATTTCCGTCATCGTGTAAATCAATTCTTTATACAAATCCGCAGAACACACACAAAAGTTATTAATAGTCTCACAGATAAACAAAATTTACTCCTGTGTTTTAGTATAAATCACTCGTATTTCACTCGGCGATATAAAAAAATGTAATAAATGCGAATTACGTAACGCTTTTTCGTAAATGAGTAATTTTACAGCATATTTGACTCACTCCTGTTAACCTGAACGCGATTAATATTCACACTTTTTCCTCCACAAGAACCACTCCTTCAGCTGCCACTCGTTTCATGTAAATTTACAAAAATAAACGTCACGTCTGGATTTTATTTTTGCAACTAGCTATCGATTTAATTATGCATCGAAAACTTTGCTAAGCAAAATCTAAAAATAACGCTGTTACTTTACACCACCTTTTGAATGCGGGAAACACTGCAAAAAATTATTGCGTCTGGCTTTGTTATGGTGTTCAAATGCTAAATTACATTAGATCGTTCTTGTCAAGTTTATGCTGGTGGTCTAGTAATTGTGTTTCAAAAAACTCACTTTTTTTGATAAACGTTATTGCAATGGAGGTGCATATGATCATTATTTTCAACATGTAAGTAATCAATTGTATTAAACAACAATAGCTGCAAAGGTGCATTTAACTGTATTTCTATATATATAGAAGCTAATTTCAATCATGAGGCTAGACGCCAGGAGAACTTGTACGTATGTTGTAAAGTGGGGGTGGTTTGAGTGTGAATTTCAAGATTTAAAACTCATTAGTGTCTCACTTTTTTTTCGCACTGATTTCGACTAAACAAAAGGTAAAAAGTGAAATGCACCTCGTCCAGACATATTTCAATGATGATGAATGTAAACCTAAATAGGAAGTGGTAATTTCGTTTAAAGTGAGTCACGATATCATTTGCACTTCAGAATCGTCTTAGCTACTGATGATCTAAATGATATACTATTTACTACACTATTATAGATAGGATGACTAATTTTCACTGGCTGTGAAAATGATAACAAACGTGCTGATGCATTCCTTTAATATGTATAACCAAAAACGAAATTCACTGATGAAGTGACTCTGAAAGTTAGTTTATTATCATTTCTATGTTTCTGAATCTGCCCCAGTAGTACGCTCTTAAAACATATTTTAAATCTTATACTTTGTAGACTTTGTACAAGGTGGATCTGTTTAAAGATAAAGAAAACACATTTTTATTTATTATAGATAGTAGTAACTTGTTTCGGTGTTTTTGATCATTTCATATAGGAGTATGAAATGTGTAACTCCCTGACCAGATATCATTGGATAAAAATGTTGCGAATCTTAAACTTTCTAATACACAAAAACAACTAAAACAGATAAGTTAATCATAGTTTCAGTTTGGTGTTTGGTATATTTATGCCCAAATATGAACGTGATGGAACACCTATTTTTATCAATCAGAGTTTAGACCAATCTTAACATCACTTTTGAACCCAGTACAAGTGTTAAGGCCATTTTCAAAATATGTTGGGCAAAGCTTTTGCAGTCAGTTAAAATTGCAAATTTCTGTATATGTTTCGAGTCTATATAAATATTTAAAAGTAAAAGTAGTAAACATCCGGATAATACTAACCTAGTTTTCAAAACGCATAGACGGTTAGGGTCAAGTGTGGTGCTTTGAAATTAAAATCGAAAATTTTTACGTGGTGTTGACTTATAACAATTTTCCCAGAAATTATATATTGTGGTATAAATTTATTGTTCAGTGTACATTTGTGACCAAATCCGGACAGGAATATGTACCAACAGTGATTTTGTAAAAGCCATGTTGAATTTAAATATGTCGGATGACACAATGTAGGTATTTATCTCGTATTTTAATTTCTTTCTTAGTTAATGATAATGTTGAAGACCTTTTTTACAAAATCAATAATTTTATCATTTATGCCGTGTTCCTGATTATATTTTTCATATATGTAGTCGTATAATAACTGATTACGATTCATAAAATTTTCACCTCGGCTGTGCGGTTTTAAACACACCCGGTTTTTCTATATAATTATTTTTCTATTGAGAAAATTTAATGTCTTTATTTTAAGAAATAATCAAAATAAATTTAGTCACTTTGACAGCCTTAGTTGGCAGCCAT